CACAACCATTATCAAATTCCTTTGTATGGAAACCACACAATTATTTAAAAATTTTTGTTTTATGTTTTACACTTAAAATAATGCCACAGGGTTTTCAACAGCATGAATAAAATATCATGCTCAAAGTACAATTTTACTTGCAAAACAATTGTAATCCCTTTGTTAAATTTACAAGACCTTATAAGACTGTAATACACTCTTTTTAAATTACTTTCTTCTAGGTCACTGATATTGTCACCCATCGAAAAAGAGTAGCTCTTGAGGGATTGCCACTTTTTCTGCGTGAAAATTCTGCTTGTTTTCTCAAGATGTGTCTGGTAAGTTACCCATTTTCATACCCTATTCTGCTTTCATTAGTCTGCTTGTTAACAAAATAATAGCTACACACTGAATGTTTTATTAAGCATTAGCAAATAGTTAATTTGTTATCTTTTAAAGGGGAAATAAAGCACTCAATTAAGTGAACATTATTTTGTTCATTGGATTCCACTTAAAAAAAAAATAATAATAATTATATATATATATATATATATATATATATATATATATATATATATATATATATATATATATATATATATATATATATATATATATATATATATATATATATATATATATATATATATATATATATATATATATATATATATAAATATAAGCTCAGCAGTGGAGCAGTAGGTAGGGCTGTCGCCTAACAGCAAGAATGTCGCTGGTTCGTGTGTGAATATGTGTGTGTGGATGTTTCCCAGAGATGGGTTGTGCCTGCAAGGGCATCCGCTGCGTAAAAACTTGCTGGATAAGTTGGCGGTTCATTCCGCTGTGGCGACCCCGGATTAATATAGAGAAAATAAATGAATGAATATATATATATATATATATATATATATATATATTAATGTAGCCATTATGATAAAAAACGGCATGTTGTACTAAAGATTTTAGACATAGGACGCAGCCATCTTGAAATGTTGCAGTGTCTGACATCACAGGGTTGGTTCTGTTTCCTCAGCTGAACAGATAGAGTGGAAGTACTTAACTGAACACAGAGACTGGACAGCCTAATTTAACCCAAGGCATGAAGTTGAGGACATGGACCTATTGCAAATACGAGCATCAGATGTGTGTCTAATATAAAAGTATAAATATTTTTTTTTCCCCTCTTTTAATTACCGATCATTTATGGTGCTTTGATTCATTCTCTGTAATATGCTGCCTGACTGCCTGTCTGTAATGATTTTAACAGACTGAACACAGAGATTGGACAGCCTAATTTAACCTAATGCATGAAGTTGTGGATGTGCATCACAGAGCTGCTGCAATATACCAAATACAAGCATTTAAGTGTCTTAAGTTGTGTAATTTTCTTTTGTTAATACCTTTCTTTGATGCGCTGTGGTCCACTTTCTCAAGCTGCTCCAGCACTGCCTGACGAGGGGATTTACATTTAGACTAAAGCAACGATTAAAATCATTCTTGCAATTCACGCTTTACTAAGTCACGTCTTTGTGGACTATGTCAAGACACTTAAATGCTTGTATTTGTTGTATTTGCAGCAGCTCTCTGATGCACATCCACAACTTCATGCATTAGGTTAAATTAGGCTGTCCAGTCTCCGTGTTCAGTCCGTTACAATCATGGGTGAAACTCAGACAGGCAGTCAGGCAGCAAATGAATCAGGAGCAATGAATTTGATTCAAAGAATGAATCAAAGCACCTTAAATGATCTGTAATTAAAAGAGGACAAAAAATTGAATAAATATTTATACTTTTATATTATACACACATCTGATGCTTGTATTTGCATCAGCTCCAAGTCCTCAACTTCATGCCTTGGGTTAAATTAGGCTGTCCAGTCTCTGTTTTCAATCAAGTACTTCCACTCGATCTGTTCAGCTGAGGAAACAGAACCAACCCTGTGACGTCAGACACAGCAACATTTCAAGATGGCTGCGCCCTAGGTCTAAAATCTTTTGTAAAACATGCCGTTTTCATCTAAATAATTACATTAAACGAGTTTAATATATTTTCATTAAAGTGGAATCCAACGTACAAAATAAGGTAAACTTGACTGAGTGCTTTATTTCCCCTTTGAGCATTAACTCTACATTTAATAGATGTTAGAAAACTGTAGGTAAATATAGCTACAAATGCTGTATTCCTGACTTATAAGCACATGTATAAAGTGCTTAATGATTGTGTTTTCGTACTTTGATTTATTTTTCGCTACTAAATTAAGTATTGCATTATTTGCAAACCAGATCTTTAAGAATAGTTTGTGTCTTTTTAAGATCATTCAGAATACATAATAAATATTTAATAAACTATTGAAATTAAACTTAATATATTTTACTATTAAAGCATGTAATAATAGTTACTTTGTATGTTTGTAAATGTTTTAATACCTTCGACTTTATCCAGTTTTGTGTCCTAAAGTGAGGACTATTTATGCTTTATATTTCCCTTATAAATGACAATTAAATGTTCAGTTATGTTCTAAACAGTACAATGAACGACTTTCACAATACACAAATGAAACTCAAATAAGAAAAGTCTTTGCTATCCTGTTTAAAGTTAAATTACTGTACAGTTTAAACATCAATAAATAACATTGACATGTTTTCAATATATTGTTAAATTGTTTTTATTAAATTTACAGTATGTTTAGATGGCAAAGGTGTATTGTTAATTTAATGCTGAGCCTTTAATTATCATTTATAATGGATTTGCAAAGCGTAAATAGTCCTCCTTTTAGATTAGGTCACAAACCTGCATGAAGTTGTTGAGTTAATAAAGCATTTATTTACATACAAAGTAACTATTCATATATGCCTTAATTATAAGTTATATACATGTTAATTTGAATAGTTTAGTAATCATTTATAATGCCATTTGAATGATCTAAAAATCAAACTTTATAAATTACTGGTTTGTAAGTAATGCAATACTTAAATTAGTAATAAAAAATAATCATTAACAGAGTATGAAAACAATTATTAATAACATTTATAGATGCTTTTAAGTCAAGAATACAGCATTTTTAGCTGTATTTATAAACCGCTTACTAACGTCTATTAATGTAGAGTTAATACTTAACAGATAATGAGTTCACTATTTGCTAATGCTTAATAAATTATTCATTGTGTATAGCAATAAATTGTTGCTGTGAGTACTTAAGTATTACATGTATTCTATTTTCTTTGTATGACAACAACAATAATAGTAATAATAACAATAAGTAGTAATTAATATTACACATCAATTGATTTCTCCTTCTATTACTTAATCTCCTATAAGGACACAGACCCTGAAGATCACAGCACCAGAGATGTAAGGATTGGAATCCTCACTGTGGTGGAAGATGATGTTGGCACTTCTGCATCCCTGCCCAATGTGATAAACCTCGCTATAATCCTGGAGGAAGCCATTGTTCTTCAGGATATTCCAGATCTGCCTGCAGCCTTTGCTTACTTGTTCGGTTTCTTGTATGCACTAAATATGGAATACCCAAAAGAACTCAAATATACTTTTGAAGTGATTCAGAAAGTATTCATGGATCTTGGTGGCACATGCTCTGCGAGAGTTCAGTCCCTGAAGTCTAAATTGTTATAGTTGCACACAGCCATTTTGCAAAAAGGCACTGCAACCATCATTGGTTACAAACTTTGCAGACTGAAGATGAAGACTCAAGTCTTGAGTTTTACAGTACTGTATATCTAACTATATTTTATTTTATTTTTTTCATTTAATACACAGGTAGGTGCAATTTAAAGTTCAAATGTGAAATAAAACATACTGTACTTTCATATTACTGTGTTCTTAGATTTGAGATGCTTTATAGGATGTTTGAACTGACAATGTTTTGAGGTTCGGGATGAGAATTCTAGTGACTGTTCAAAAGTTTCTGATGCCCCGTTGGCCAGAAAAACTGGGAAAGACTTGACAAAACTTCAAGTTAAGAGGAGGACATCCTTCTGAGTTATTCTTTTATTCATGTCTGTTTTTGGAATTGTGTACTTTGTTGACAAAGTGCCTTATACTTTATATACTTTGAATGGAGTGGGGTTTAACGTTTATTTAGATTAGATATTTTTGTACTCATCTGGTTTAAGTGTTGGACACATTAGCTTGGTTTTACTAACTTAGTAAAGCATGAAGAAAGCTCGCCTGTCATTTTATGTTTAGGCAATGTTGTAGTGTACAAACTTTTCACACATGTAAAAACATTCAGTACAAGTTGTTAAATGTTGATTTTTGTACTAAAATGTTTTATATTGTGTTTTGAACAGTTTAAAAAAATAAAAGGTTAATTGACTTTTCTTGTGTATTTAATTTAAATTATAAAAATTATTAGTGAATGCATAATGGACCATTTTGTCATATATTTGTTCAGCAAACAAAAATGTCTTGTTGGGTGAACATGATATTTTTTTTGTTCAGCAAACAAAAATATCTTGTTGGGTGAACATGATATTTTTTGTTCAGCAAACAAAAATATCTTGTTGGGTGAACATGACATTTTTTGTTCAGCAAACAAAAATATCCTGTTGGTTGAACATGATATTTTTTGTTCAGCAAACAAAAATATCTTGTTGGGTTAACATGATATTTTTTTTTCAGCAAACAAAAATATCTTGTTGGGTGAACATGATATTTTTTGTTCAGCAAACAAAAATATCTTGTTGGGTGAACATGACATTTTTTGTTCAGCAAACAAAAATATCCTGTTGGTTGAACATGATATTTTTTGTTCAGCAAACAAAAATATCCTGTTGGGTGAACATGATATTTTTAGTTCAGCAAACAAAAATATCCTGTTGGTTGAACATGATATTTTTTGTTCAGCAAACAAAAATGTCTTGTTGGGTTAACATGATATTTTTTGTTCAGCAAACAAAAATATCTTGTTGGGTGAACATGATATTTTTTGTTCAGAGAACTAAGGAATTCAACAAAATATTTTGAGTTCACTGGTCTTCAAACCCTGTTTGTTGAGTTAACTCAAAAAGCTATGTGTGATAGGTTGCCTTATTATTTTAAGTTTACTCAACTTTTTTTTTTACAGTGTAGACGTAAGATCTAGTATTAGTATTGTTCAGAGTAGCTAATGTTGACATCACCTGATCATGTCTTTTTCCCAGCTCCTGAATTTGTGACCTGAGCTGCAGAAGAGGGTCACCTCTCCCACTGTCCTCCTCTCTATCAGTGGCTCCGCCTTCTTCCCAGGCTTCCTCTCCACTCACACTTACATCAGCTACTTCTGCCTCAATAGCACGATTTCTCAGTCCACAAGTCTCTAGAAGTTTGAAACAAAACACAGTCCTCTAAAGCGTCCTCAATCCAGCAGGTCCAGTCACTGACTCCTCGTCCTCCCTGTCGTCCGGATGTCGCACACAGCTCTCTGCACAGTCTCTGAAGCGTGACTCTCCTTCACCACTACCGTTGTTTATTTTCCTCACTTAACTAACAAAACTTAGACTTTATATTTATTTATTTTATTATTATTTATTTATCTATATTTTTATATACACTAATTATACTACCCACAAATGGAAACCTGCTGAGGAAATTAACCCCACTCCTGGTACCAAATAGATGTGGCCAGGATACTGCTCTTCCTATTTAAATAAATCAAGCATCCTCAGTCATCTATAAACAAAGGGTTCTTTATTTGTGACCACGTTTAAATAGAAAAATGTGGCATTAAAGTTGCAGATTTCCAACAGTGGGCAAAAACAAGAAATGTAAAATGTTCTGTGGACAATAATGAAAGAATTACAATATTTACAATAGGTTAGCTCAGACCAAGCAATGTTTCAAAATGACTACTTAAAGATCTCCTCCTTTTAATTTACAGTAATAATGTCCACACAGGTAAGTAAATAAAACAAAAGTGATTTTGCATGTGTCACTAATAAGGATTAATAGCACTAAATAAATCTAAATAAACCTGAATAATCCTAAATAAACAACGATAGTGGCTTATTATGTATCCCTACACAAAACAAAAGCATAAACAATTTTAACAACATAAGATAATAAACAAACACACTTCCATGTCAAATAAACACATGTAAATATCCCCTTTCAAATGTATAACATCAGTATCAACATTCTATTATAAAGAATAAATGGTTGCAGAACGTAAATTAACACAGGTAATGAGGAGAAATAACACCCTGTTCATTTACATTTCTCTGAATGAGCATAAAGTATTGTTCAAGACATATAAATCAATAAAACTCACTCTGTTAAATGTTGAACCGCACTCTGAATGATCCACAAAGCCTCCGATCACGTGCGCACTCGCGTGTACTCGCTCTCCCCTCTGATATAATTAGGCCCAAAAAAACAGAGAAGTACAATAAACGATCACCTCACGTTTACTCAAATAATACACTAACATACGATCATTAACCAGTAAATGAACAGCATCAATAACTACTCACGCTCAATCTTCGTTGCTGGAGATTACATAGTCTCACCATGTGAATATTTCTGCACCCGCAAGCATGCTAAATCCCACCGATCACCAGTCAAACATGAAGAAAAATAGCTGCTCTCAAAACTGCAGCGAGGACTTCCTCTTTTTTCTCTAAATAAAACTGTTACAGTACCTATCTTGCAGGCTCAAAAGACAACAGATTACCGTAGCTAAACTCTCAGGAGGGCACTTCTCCTTTCACAACGACTCTGTATGAACGCACCAATAAGCCTCTAGTGGCAGGGAGGCATCATTACCAGCTATTTTTCACTTGGCTACATATATATATATATTTTTTTTTTTTTTTTTTTATTAATACATTTTTTTATTGTGTGTTTGTGTGTGTGTATCTGCTTGCGTGTGCAAGTTTATGTATGTGTGTGTGTTTGCGTGTGTGGGGGAAAACAAAGGTGCAAACATTAGTTCAACTCTGTCATCAACAATGATAGCATAACTGCTGACTTACAGGTCAAAATTACTTGGGCACCATTTTACAGTTTTTTACAATGGCTATGACAGTTTTTTCAATTCATTTAACAAGTTTGCAAAACTCTTTACGCAGCAACACACCTAAAACACACAACTGGCAAAACAGTTAAGTTCAAGCCCAAAATCACACATTGTAAACCAATATTATAAATAATAAATAATAAGAAAAATCGTTAGTTCATAAAATTACACAAGCCACCCCTTTATTGTAGGCTAATAAAAAAATTAACTTCTCTTTAACATCCTTTTTGAGCATATTATGTAACCAATTATGCATTTAATTTTCCTGCCATTCATTTCTTAAGACCACAATACAAATGTGACTAGTATATGAGGCTTATAGAAATTGTAATCCTTCTGGAGCTAACTTTGTCCAAAGTCATTAAACATAGAAACATTCTCTGAAAAGGTACTATTTGATTACTTTTTTTTTCCATACACACTCTCATTCACACACACACACACACACACACACACTATGGCCAATTTAGTTCATCCAATTCACTTATAGCACACGTCTTTGGACTGTAGGAGAAACTGGAGCACCCAGAGGAAACCCATGTGAATACGGGGAGGATTTGCAAGGTAAACACGGAAATGCCAACTGCCCCAGCCAGGACTTGAACCAGTAACCTTCTTGCTGTAAAGCAAAACACAGAATATTCTTTCTGTCATGCAGCTAGAAAGGTGGCTGAGGCCTGACTAACTGCTGTGGGCCACCAGTTAGAGTCAAAGTTCTCTCTGCCTCAACCAACAAGCAGTGCAAGAATTTGTCTGCACTTTTTCATATTTGAATTTCACTATTGTATCACAAAACAATCTTTTATTTATATATAACCTATTAATTTATTCTATTAATATATTATTTATTTAAATTCAGAAGTTGCTGTATAAGGTCTATCTTCAAAGATAAATTAAGTCACATGAACATCACCTTAAGGTAACAAATGTATATGAAAAATAAGTTACACGTGGAAGGGTGTGTGCATAAAGCAGTGTAAAAAAAATCATTCATTTTATTTCAGGAAATGAACAGTGCTTCAGACCAAACTATTTAACTAAACATATTTTTTTGACAAATTATATTTCTTATTACTCGTCCAGCTTTGGTCTGCGTGGGTCACTGAGGTTTCCTCTGGGTCAGGCTGCAGGTAGGGTGTCATCATATAAGGCAGAAAAGAGTATCCTTTGTCCTACAGCAAGTAACAATGTAATGCCCAGTAATGATTCAATTGTATAATACAAATATAGTAAAAAGAAACATAGTATAAAGCAATATTTGCTTTTCACAGAGTTTTTTTTCACTATATTTGTATTGTACACTTGAATTACTCCCTGAAAATCAGCCATTTAGCCTCAACATAGTGATGAATTGGGGTCAACACATATGAGCTATTTAGTGGAACCAGTAATGAGTTTAATAGTTAAAACACAAAAAGATTACAGACAGTAAATTAAGTTGTACCTGCACATCTATACTATGGACAGATTTTATATTATTTCATATATTTCATATGATGGAGCTTTAAAAACGGCTGCAATTAATGCACACATAAGCATTTGGAAACCCTGAAAAAAATTATATTAAAAATATAGGAAGTGTGTGCTTGAATAGAAGTATACATGAACAACGTCCTACATCTTAAAATATGAATATATTTTCCTACAAAAGACAAAGCTGCTACTTCTTATAATATTATATATAAGCTACAGAAAATGTGAGGGGTGCAGAAAGAGAAAGACAGAAAAAAAACTAGATTTCTATGTGAGATTCGAACTCGCTCTGCTGTGTGCTTCGTTGTCTTTTAATGACACACTGTCCACTACGCTACTGCCGCACTCTGGAGCATCTGTGTAATGATACGTAGTGGTTACTGATCAAGGAACTGTACAAAAGTGTTTAAAACAGTTCAGTGCCAGGCATACTGTACAGATTTAGGTTCTTTTGTATTTTCAGACTGATTCAGCTAAAGCAGGGGTTACCAATTTCGGTCCTGGAGGGCCGGTGTCCCTGCAGGGTTTTGCTCCAACTTGCCTCAACACACCTGCCTGGATGTTTCAATTATACCTAGTAAGACCTTGATTAGCTTGTTCAGGAGTGTTTGATTAGGGTTGGAGCTAAAATCTGCAAGACACCGGCCCTCCAGGAACAAGTTTGGTGACCACTGAGCTAAAGCATATGCACATTCAATGTTCAACAGAAGGGTGACACTGAAATTGACACATTTAAGTTTATGTGATCTTCTCCACGATCCTAGAAAACATTGTTATATGGTGTAAAAAATTCCAACCTTCAGTTAATTGTTAATAGTTGAAAAACAAAGGATATGCTAATCCTAATCCTACTAATGTGCTAATTGTCGTTGACAAATATTGAAAGAGGGAAAATTAAAAATACAAAGTTTTGACAAAGGGGATAACTGATGACAAAGTTCTGTCTAAAGGCAAGTGAAATGTATCAACTGTCCATCAGAGAACTCAACAAGGAATGTTTCTCTAGAGGAAGATGAGAATATTCAATGTATGTAGTATGTAAGTCTTTATTAAATCTATGTTTTCTTTCTGCATTGTAGCCTGGTTTGGAAATGTTATTGTAGTGAGTGATCACGTGCTTGAGTGATAATGAGTAGCACAACAAGTTGCAAAAGACAGGACCAGACCTGGGGCCTAACTGCGTACGCACAAAGCTGTAAATGTGCATACGCAGAAAAATATTCAGATGTATGAAACACTGCGTACGCTGAATCCGGTGCAAAATTCTTTGTACATCCCAATGAACGTGAAACTGAGCGCAACATGCACGAGCGCAAAACCCCTCCCTGCCTCCTCCCCCGTATGAATATGCTAATGAGCAAAAAGAAAAACTTTGAACAGAATGTGAATTGGAGGTGCTGCTTTCGGAGGTAGAACGGAGAAAAACTGTGTTATTTGCAAGTTTGTACTCCGGAATTAATAACAAAAAAATTAAATAAATAGAGTGGGAGAGTTTAGCTGGCGCGGTTAACACAGTTAAATCTGAACATATATATATATAAACATATTCATTCATTAACTTTCTTGTCAGCTTAGTCCCTTTATTAATCCAGGGTTGCCACAGCAGAATGAACCGCCAACTTATCCAGCACAGTTTTACACAGCGGATGCCCTTCCAGCCGCAACCCATCCCTGGGAAACATCCACACACGCTCATACACTACGGACAATTTAGCCTACCCAATTCACCTGTACTGCATGTCTTTGGACTGTGGGGGGAACTGAACCACCTGGAGGAAACCCATGCGAATGCAGTGAGAACATGCAAACTCCACACAGAAACGCTAACTGAGCCAAGGTTCGAACCAGCGACCCAGTGACCTTCTTGCTGTGAGTGACAGGACTACCTACTGTGCTATATATATATATATATATATATATATATATATATATATATATATATATATATATATATATATATATATATATATATATATATATAAGCTAAATAGCTTATACCCACCTGTTTAGTAGAAACCTGTAGTAAAAACCATTTTATATAAGAATAATTTTTTGTGAATGTGTAAAGTCTTTGTAATGTTTCTATGTTATGTTATATGTGACATCGCTGCAAAACTAGTTTCATCCAAAGTGGATAATAAATTCAGACAAACAAACTTTTATGGGTGTGTAAGCAGGCATGGGCAGTATTTATGATTGTCAGCCAGCCATTATCAAGAACAACAGCAATGAGTGTCACTGTGTCATTTACCATTTACTATTTAGTTAAAATGTATTATAGTTATAATTGTAAATGCAAAGATGAGACAAAGAAAATGAAAAGCACAATGACAGTGTGACTTTACTGACAATAGTTGACAAAACAAAACAAATGATTGTAAGTAACTGTCTCATTTACAATTGTGTTACTTATTTAGATTCTTATTTGTGTCCTTTTTACAGAGCATCATGGAAGTGCGGTGCTAGGTAACAAGAACATGTGAGGTGCATATAGTGAACAATTAACAAAGGAAAAAACAAATGAAACACATTTAAAGCTCTCAAAAATAAACAAAAAGAAATGTTGATAAGTAAATAAAAGCAAATTAACAATTTTCGTAGCTTGTTCTATCTTGATATATTTTTTATTTTGATTCTGATTTTGTGCTGTCTCATGTGATGCCTAATTTAATTTAATTAATAATGTTCAATGCTTTATTTGAACAAATTATTAACATTCAGAGCATTTATGGGTTTAAATTGTGTGTGTGTGTGTGTGTGTGTGTGTTTGTGTGTGTGTGTGCGTGCGTGTGTGTGTGTGTGTGTGTGTGTGTGTGTGTGTAAAAATATTGCCTCCTTATACCAAACTGTTTGACATGCACTACTGGTCTTCGTTTCTTCAATTCTATGGGTTTACATTTTTATCTTCTATGTGAGTTTATATTGGCCCATATTTTTCTCATCATCAGCCTTCTTGAAAATATATAAATAAAAATACAGCATTACCACCATTCCTCACCTGTTGGTGTTCATTCAGATTGTAATAGCACACTGATCTGCCTTTTTCACCCCATCACCAGACACTGGTGCAGATATATCAGTCTCAGCTTTACTTTTCAGGCTTGCTTGAAATGAGGTGAGGTGGAATGGGGTGGGCAACAGACCCTGAGCTGGTAATTCAGTTCCATTCAGACCCCATCTGCCGGGAGGCTTTTTCCATCAAGTGTGTGCTGGTGGCCCTAAAAAAGCACTGGCGCTCAATCACAGAAGAGCTGAAA